TAATCAGCGACCCAGAAAACCCCAAATAACCCAGTTTCATAGAAATCTACCGATTTTTTTTTTATTTTCGTCCGCCATATTGGATCCGCCAGTTTGAATTTTTGATAAGTGACTTCAGATTCGTAATCAGTGACCCAAAAATCCCCTAGGTAAGAAGTGGTGTAAAGATCCATCAACGAATATTTGTTTAAATTGTTTCGTCCAGCTAGATTTGCGATCCGAACCACTGTGGGCTATCGGCTTCGAATATTTGTTAAATGGAAAGAAATAACTCCCCAAGAAGTATAGCCGTTAGGTGGTGCGGGGGTCGATTTTTTTATTACTACACTAACAAAAGCTTGTCTTTAAAAAAATGTTTTTTAAATTACTTGTTTATTAATGTTCTACAAAGTTTGAAATGTTGATTAACATTGTTTTTTTTTAGTGAGTAAGTAGAAGTTGCTAAAACTTGCTAAAATGTCTCTTCACTATTTACACTATTGCCACCGTATGTATTTACGTAGTTAATGCAAAAGACAATAAATAGTACGCGACTTTATCAAATAAAGTATTACCGTTGCATTATTAAGATATTTCGGTTTCTTCGGCTTGTTGTTCTTCATATCGCCATGTATCGTGAATTCCATGCCATCGCCAATTGCAACCTCTAGCTGGTTTTGCTCCTTGATCCCTTTTTTGATTAGGCCATCGGCAATAATGTCATCTTGGCCTAGTTCCAGCTCGTTGTCACCATGCTCTGTAGATATACAACGACAAACCCCTTTGCCTTCGTATCAATTGACAGTATTTATTCGTTTCAAATCAAGTAAATCAATTTCAGTACAAATTTGTGTATGAATGCTCAAATGTTGATTGACGATCGATCGACGATAGAGATTGTGAGAAGCGAGTGACGAATGGCAGTTACCGATTGCAAACGAAAGCATGCACACATGGGAATTGTGCAGATTGATTGATAAGTTAAATATTATTCGATCGGTGATAAGACGATGATCACAGGTTGCATAATCAAAAGCCACAATTTGGAAACAGTTTCATTATCAAGAAACGAGTTAACGGCAATTATTTTTAATTTTCGTTCATATCATCAAAAGACGATTTTAATGGTTATTTTTTTTTAAATATTTGGAATAAAAGAAAATTTTGTGGAGACATTAATTTTGATTACAATAAATTTTGAATAAAATAATACAAATCAAATCACACGTTCAAAAAATAACCAGTGTATTTACGCCTTTCTGACCATCGGCATATCTGGCTAGATGGTCACAAATTTTCCAGTTTTCAACAATAAAATTTATATGTAGGTACAAAATACAAATACTGAAAAATACTAACTTTGAACAACTCGTATAGAAACTTGTTATCAGATTATATAATTATCTGCTTTTTTTAATGCGAATTTGTATAAAGTTGCAGCTGTATTCCGCAACAAATATACAGAGCAGCTGGATGTTCAAGTTTGTTTTAACCATATAACCAAATCACCAAATAATCAACGATGTGTGAATAAAAAAAAGATATTTGACAAGAAAAACTTGCAGATAACTATTGCAATATGAAACGATTAGTTCATAGAGGGCTCTTAAGATGCTGCTTGCTTCGAATTGTTCTCCTTTGCTTTTAACACTAATTTGGCCAAATGGTAGGCAACTGTAGCCATTTCAAAACAACCAACTGTGGGGTTGTAAATTCCAAGTCTGTCCAATTAGTAGCGAGATTTATTAAATGTGATTAAACTAGTTTGCAGAAGTGAGATATACAACAAGTTATTTAACGAAAGAACCCTCTTAAACTTGCAAACATGTATGCATATGTATTTGTAAGCACGAATGAGAAGGAACTATATAAGAACTAAGCAATTTTCGTTAGAAAGTAATAATCAAGTAAGTTAAGCAAATAAATGTAATTTATAACAGTTGAATATAGATTCATAATATGTACGTATGTATGCATGTATGTAATTATTATTATTGATCTATGTAAAATTCTGTATCGAGACATGTGATTAAATGGTTAAATAATTCAAAAGTTTAATAAAATACTAAAATAAAATCTGAACACTTATAATGAGAAGGGTAAAATCCACTGTTTTTCTGTTAATTTATCTAAAATAATTCGAAATGTTCAAGTATGTAAATCCAGACCAACTTAAAACATTATTACATGATTACTTTAGCGACATTGCATTTACTTTAAATTTACGAAAAATGGTGTTCCTTTTATCACACAAAGGGCGATACAATTTGTCTATGATATGTTGTTATTCGGGCAGGATAAATTAATTGAGGTGGATCTCAATGAAAGCAAAAAATGCGCATAATCAGGTGTGGTATTACGAAATGAATGTTTAAAAAAAATTCACCACAAACGCTCTTAACCAGAAGTACTCAAAAACAGCTAAATACATATGTATGAACGAAAAAATACATTTTACATTTTAGGTAAATCACACTGAAGTGTATATATTTAAAAGTGAACTACCATTTCTAAGTTTTACTTATATGAGGATTAGGCTCTGCACACTAGACCAATGGAAAATTCAAATCAAAAATTACATTTACACAAAATACTGTTCCAATGTGAATGTTTGCTTTATTTTCTTTTTATAAGCAATTTCGAGTATTTCATTATGTTTTTTTTTTTAATTTTTGGAAAAGATCCTGAATGAAAACAATGAATGTATATTTGAAAAGGGAATATACAGATTAAATACAGAAACCAATTATATGTATATGTGTAACATATGTATGTACATTCAGACAAATAGACATAGCACTTTTGCCAATGCCTTACCGCTAGTTTCAGATAGTTACTCCCCATTGTTTTCCCACATGGTTTCTAAACATACAGCAAATAAACAATTTTGTTCACTATCTTTCAAGAACCTTTGTGAATATAATCTATGGATCATTAAATGCTTTTATTATGTTTCAGCAATGAGTAATCTGATCTGCCTCTTGATCTTGAACAAGTTTTAACCAACTTCGCGATGAGCTGGAGACGTAGCTCGGAGCCCGATAAATTGATCCGCTAGATGGAGCAGGTGTCGAGATATTTGAAAAATCCGTAATTATGATTCGATTTGGTTCATATTTAAAATGTATATAATCTAAATAGAAAGAAATTACTCCACAAAAAATTTAGTCGTTAAGTGGTGCAGAGTAAATTTTTCTTTCTTATTAACCACTTATGAAAACTTGTCTTTAAAGATGTTTACTATAGTTTTGTTTGACAAATAACTATGTATAACACTTCTGGAGTTTCTATATCAAAAATTTGCGTATTGTTTATTTGTTTTAAAAATGTTGTGAAGCTCCGTTGTGGTGAATATACCCAAAAATTCCCCCAATCTCCGAGAAATACAAAGACTGTACCAGATTCATTTGCTCTCATTCTGCTATCATTTAATACTCTCAGTTAGTTTCAGTCTTTTAATTGTTTATTTATTTCTTAAAAGCTTCTGGTGAGAACGTTTTCTATCAGGTTAAAATCCGCAGTCATTCGTCCTAATCTCAGACTTGGGAGAATGCCCAAGTTTACTGTGGACATCATATATTTGGCATTATAACTCTGAAAACTCGGCTGATAAATACTAGCATTTTCATAGGTGTCATTGGTCTGAGTGTATTTTAATAATATAATTGTTTATTTAATTTTTAGTTTTAAAATAGTTTGGTTACTCGTTATGGAATGAATTTGCATCTACTGGCTTTTTGTAAGAAAATTACGGCGTGGGCTTTAGATAAATGGTCTTACATACATATAAGTACATACATATGGGACTTTGTAATATATTTTGCGAAAGTTTCAACTTTGGACTTTTAATAACGTTTTAAATATTAATTCGGATATGAAATTTATGCTATTTGGTCTAATTGTTTTTTCATTGCTATACGAATGCAAATATATGGATATAGTTAAGATTAGTAGAAAACAAGTGGATAAAAACCTTCGCTCCAAATCCAACTGATCTGGTTGATCCTCTCACCTGATGGTTGATCACTAATTTGATTTGTCAATTTGTTACGAATATAATTGAAACAATTGGCAAAATTACGCTTTATCCATGCTTTAAAACGCGAAAATCTGTTAAACGCTTCCATGATTTTATTAGTGTCATTGTCGGCTGTTGGGGCCGATAGACTAGATGAACCGAAATTAGACAAAAGCAAGGCTAAGAAAAGATTAAGCACCTGTCAATTAAATTAAAAAATATTTCGTTCAATAATTTTTGTTATTGTCATAAAAGTACATATCTATGTATATATGTATGTATATATAGTTATTTGAACAAAATATTAAATTGTTTCTTTGAATACGTACGACCAAGTTTCCAATCACGACCGTAGCCAAAAAGAACGGAATGCAGGAGACGTCGCCGACATACATGCAGTCCCACATGGACTCAATCCACTCACCACATAATACCCGGAAAACGATCATAAATGAATGCATGAAATCCGTAAAGTTCCAGCGTGGTAAATCACCGTCTGGAAATCTGTCCTGATTGTCTATATATTTGACAAACATTTAGTTTTATAAAACAAATGCATTTTTTATTGTAGTATACATATATGTATGAATGTAAAAAGCTATTACAAAGCACATATAGCCAAAAGGACAAATTAAAATTCGAAAATATATTAACAGTTAATCTATCCAAGTAGTGCGTAATAAAAAGTGACAAAGTGTGGATAAACAAAGAATTTCTTTAAACATTGCATGCACGATATAACTACAAAAATAAAATAGCGAAAGTACTTACGGGTCTATAATAGGCACTTATGTATGTACATACATTTAGAGCATAAAAAAATTAGTTTTGATCTTATACTTACATACATACATATGTACTTATAGGATACCTTTTAAAACATAAACGATGTCTAACGAAAATAGCAATGTGCTTCACGACTTTTTGACACAATGAAAATGTTTTTATACCAAGTACAAAGATCTAAGATTTCGTTTTGCTACGTTTAAGAAATGATCTCCATTTTTTAAGAAACTCTT